TAGGTTCACTACGATGTTGTGATTCTCAATGTGATTCCGATATACATAGGCCGCCGGCAATAAGACATCAAAAACATGCTGTGTACTAAAGAGTACTTTCCAGTATAGCGTGGCGATAAAACGTTGAATTGTTTTAAGAAAAATTGACCATCGATCTTTTTCCCTTCTAAGCTTCAATTCCGCTAGAATTTGGCTCAAAAGTGTCGTGTTTTATAGTTCATGACATTGTATTAGAGGTGCAAAAGATTATAATCGTCTTAACTATTAATGGTAATGTCTGCTTGAATTCTCTTATCCGTTCTTTATTGAATGTTTCTTCAATCATATTAATGACTAATGTTGTTAATGACCTATATTAATGACCGTATGGCACCTAGGAATTTATCGAACTAATTCGCTGAATCTTCTGCTTAACAAAATTTTTTGTTACTAACGCCATTTTTTTAAAAAATTCCCACCAAGGTGTTTTTAGCCCTCCATTCTATTATGGGAACGAAAAGGCATTATTTCCGCATGGTCGGAGGCAAATGGCGATCCAGGGCCGGTCTGCTCTTAATTCATTTTTCTCGATCTATCGAATGTCATACCTTTGAACAAGCATGCGTAGTTCAATAGCTTTGTTTTCACGTTTCAATTTTCCGCACCATAAACACATGTGATAGATAGACGTAGAAAATAAAGCCGATGACTGCGCCAAGAATCAAAAAACGACATCAACTGTGAACCTCGTGGTATTCTAAAAATTCTTCTTATTCGGTTGTACTTGTATGGATTAGAATGAAATACTACTTCAGAGCTAGTTTTTGCAGGATGGCTAAGGATTACCGTAACATTCTCCCTTTGAAGTAGTTTTTGCCGAAGTCAGGGTGATGCGCTGACTCCACCGACCAGAAAATCATCTTTTTCGGATGATTGTCTCGCCAATCATTTTCGCGTAAAGTGATGAATATTGACGGGTCGATTAGAACCTAAAAAGCAACTCCGTCAGCACTCATAAATTTACTATAAGGCGTTGTGAAATTTTTTCCAATGGCTTTCTTATTGTCGAAGTATACTTGAGTGGTGAATCGGAACATTTACTTAAGTGCAACTTGAAGATTCAACGAAGTCGATTGTTCAATTTCTAGTGTTTTGAATTCTAATGGCCATTCCTTTTTTATACTAGCATTGATGATGTGATTATCGACAATCTAAGTTGCAATTGAAGATCATGAACATTTTTAAGATAGCTTCAAAGGTAATTTAATAAAATCAATAGCCTAGGAAGGAAATGTGTTCTAAGAATCATGAGGTATTGCATTTATGAGTCATCAATGAAAAAGTCATAAAAACGTATATAAATTACTTGACCGGCATCGTTCAAAAATGTTCAAGCAGAGTAAAAATCAGTATTGTATTAGATTCACGAAAAAGTTTCTTAACACCGGCGAAAAGGGAAAAAATATGGTTCAAACCATGTTATCAGATCATGATTTTATGTTTGTTTCACGCAGAATCAGTTTTTGTTAATTCACGGGAATTTATCAGGAATATTTCCATAAGAAACTCCCAAAGCAACGCCACTTATTTGTTGATTCGACATCTGATTCGTTGAATGCGCGCGCTGTTCCAGCAAGACAATGCTAAATCTCACACCGCAAAGAAGACTAAGGAAAAGTATGATGAACTGGACGGAATCGCGGTCTTGCCGCATCAAGCTCACAGTACAGATGCTGCGCCGTCCAATTATGGTCGGATTTCCGCTCAATGGAACAATTTCGACATAGACGCCGATTCAAGACATTTGATTAAGTTGGAGAGGCATATCAAGAGCTTTTTGATACAGGGCCCAAGGAATGGTATTTCGAGCAGATCCGGAAGCTTACAGATCGTTGGCAGAAGATCGTATATAATGGTGATGTTCATTAAGAAGAGCATTTATTGTTGTTCTAGTTGAATTTATGCCTAAACTTTGAAGTTTTGGGGATTTTAGGGCACTTTTTCCTCAACGCAAAGAAAAATTGAGATTGCTTCTCGATTAAATGATATGGAAATAAAAATATTAGGACATTGAATTGTATCACCGAAGATGCGGTCAGACTAGATCAAATTTTTGAATCGCAAAATTTGTCTGTGACGATTCGTATGTTCTCACATTTTCTAAACGCAATCTATGGCAGCATTATTGTTCCCCTTCTGCTCCTCACCACTTGAGATCAACGAATAGATCCAGGCATATATTCTAGCTAAACTTTTGGCATGTGGTCGACATACCGTAGGATTTGTCTTATTGACATGCTCTTCGGTTATGAATGTGTTTCCATGACCATGAATTCCAGCAGACTTGATGGTGAATGTGGTATATGGCAGAACTGAACGGCTGGACACTCCGGCTAAAATTAGCAGCAGCCAAGCAAGCATTCAACATCAGAATCGCCTATAAAAAAACTTTTTGAGCTAAGGTCATACTTTGAATAGATTATACATATAATGACAGTAAGAATAAATCAAGTTAAATAATCCAATGACAATGTCGATGTCTCTTATTTGTGAATATTTTAATATATATAACGTCACAAAGCGCTCTTAGCCCACGTTTATCGAAATGTTTGCGGATTTAGAACATCTAAATGAAGAAACTGGGTGAAAAGGTAGCGTAAAATGAAATTCGTTAGAGAGAAGCGTTGTGATCAAGGACAGCAAGGATTATATATATACATATATATATATATGTATATATATATATATATATATATATATACGTATATTTATACCAAATCTCCATTTTCACTGAAGCTTACACGACTGTACATGATTTGAACTTATCTGACGTTGAACGATTGATCGAGTTTTTTAAAGTCAGTGAGACAGCAAACCACAACATGTGTGTGGGCGCATTAGACTGGATTGCTTTTAACACTATTCTGCTGCAAAAATTGAGCAAAACAGATGAATCTTACGTGAGTCTTCGTGCTCCTTATAAGTGCATATCAAAATTATGACATACTTGTATGGATGTCGTAGTACGGAAACGATAAATCTTTAACGGCACGCTTTCTATCAAAGTGGATTACTCACTTGGGTTCTTAGACGGGTCCATCTTCGCGAGTTGTGCCTACAGTACACGAAAATGTGTTGGCTTCCCTAATTTGTTCCCTGGGATTCCGAGGTCAGTCTAGCCAGGATTTCCACTGGTCGCAACCACATTAGGGCAGTCGACGGGCCTTATGGGTTAGAAGGAAATTACCATCTTGCGACTAGTAGCTACCAAAACGGCAGCCATTACTGGTACAATTTCCTCTTTGCTGGGTATTCCGAGTGGAATCTTGCTCCTTCTCAGCTTGGACGGCTTTGCTCGAGAACCCCTACTGTACTTCACAGTCCGACACCCAGGAACACCTCCCACCCACGATGAAGCGATAAACCATTTGGGAGGAGTGCGATGATTATAGATGGCAAACCAATTTTCTTTCAACATCGGCATCACTTTCACATCGTACCTTCAGTAGTAATTGAGCCGATTGTACGAATTTAGTAAAAATAATGAATTAATCCGGCCATCGTTTCTACGCTTTTCATGTTCTTTAGAGCCGATGATTGGAGTCGCTTTGCCTACAACAGCCGTCCTCATTACGGGGTCTCCTTCGTTGTAGATTGAGTGGTATGTTCTTCAGTTGGCACCACTCAAATGAGGAACGTCACCGCGGTATGCTCTCATATACTGGTTTAGTGTTATGATAATGGTTGTCCGTTGATAATGTATTGTTTAAGTCGAAATCCATTCTGCAGTAATCGATATAGTTAGTAGCTTGCTCATAGCATTATATTAATTTGTAAACTGACTCTTCTTCTTCTTTGCATCGCTTATCATTCTATTCTTTATTGATGGTGCGAAATTGGTAAAATTAACATCGTTCGTTTGGCTAACGTTTTGACGTGTTTTGTTATTTCATAGCCAACAATTCGAGGCTTAACGGACATTCATTACCATCAGCAACAACCCTGTATATAAGGGTATCGCCGAGTGAGGTTCCTCATTGAGCAGAGCCCATCGAAGAACACTCGATTCGATCGACAACAAAGAGGAAGACGGCAACGAGGACAAACGACTGTAAGCAATCGGCTCCAGTCATCGGCTCTGAAAAAGCTATTTCAAGAGGTCGTAGAAAAAGTCCTGTCGTAATGCTTGAGAAAACCATTTGTATCCATGTATTTTATACGAATTTGAGCTCGTCAGAAAGCTCGCTTTCTTACGCGTCGAACGATATATCAGTGTCTAAACAGTCTTCCGAAAGAAACTGTTTAGGAAAAAATTCGTCTGCCACGCCCCTTTCACTACAAATTGGGTGTCAACACTTCTGATGTTCAACGCAAATCTGAATTTTCGATGTCTGTCCAGCTCGGCGTTGATTCGAGATATCCTGTGAAGAAGAAGATCGATTGACTGACAAGCCTAGAGAGGGACGTCTAAGAGAAGTCGATCACCAAGCAGTCGTCAGTTGAAGTGAAGGAGATTCATCGATGACTTTTCGGATACTGGCTGACTAGTTTGATTGTGATCTAATGACGATTTGGCACATTCTCGAGTAGACCGGCAAACAGTGCTTGAGGTCCAAATGGTTTCCACACGAATCGACAATGGATCAACGAGAAAACAATTTAGTGCTCGCGTTCGGTTGTTTGAGCGCTACAGTAGTCATCAGCTAGACTTGCCACACGGTTTGACGTGTGACGAAAAATGGGTCTCTTCTGACAATTTGCACCGACGCAATAAATGACGATCAAGTGGTTAATCGGCTTTTTAATTGGCTGAAAAGGAAGAAGGCTATTTCGAATATTAATTCATCCTCTGTTTGAGCTTGATTGATGTGCGAATAATTTTTCTATGCAATTTGAAAATACGACAGAACTTTCCCTACTACGCATTATAGTGCTTCTTGAGTGGCTGAATTGACAGACTGCAGACGGTTGGCTGTTGCAGATAACACGTTATAGCGTAGAAAGAGTGCTGGGTAAAACGAGCGTCGGTGGTGCGACGGTTAGTATACGCTCCTGGAAAGAGTGAAGTCTGGATTCGAATCCCAGCTGACGCAAATGTTTTTTCAAGCACTCTACATTACTGGTTTAGTATAATGTTCTCATATCGTCTTCACTGGCTGTCTTTGGCCCACTTGGATTGTGGGTTTAGTACTTTATGACTGAGATTTCTTCTAAAACAATTGTAACACTCGGTGTGAGTTTCATCCTAGTTGGGATTCATGTTCGAGTAGTCAGTTCAAGTGGTAATTTCCAAGTGGTTCAGCTTCATTGAACATGGCAATCAGACTCACGAAAGCACCCTACCGACGATAATGACAAATTTCAAATCCATCTAGTTTTCTGACTACAAGAATGCAAAGTTAATATGAGACTGAGCCGTGCAAACATAATGAAATCAGTTTCCTAACAGAAAATTTTTAGGATAATTAAACTTTGAACGCTATATCGGTAATTAGTTGGGATCTCTTCAGGAGTTAATAATCATTGGAGAATAACCCTACTCTAAAAAAACAGCACTATCTGATGACTGATGGAACCACAGGTGATGCAGACCCTACAGGAAACCATTGTCTTTCGATGAAGTGTAGAATAAAGCAATTCAACGGTGATGTTGGTGAAATTTGAGAAGTAATAAAGGGCAGTAAAAAGTCTGACGTTGCGTGATACTTGGATAACCATCATGCATTCAACTCTAATGGCAACATCGAGTTAACTGTTTGCATATTCAATCATCATAAAATGGGATCTACTGAAATTTGAGCACTTCAAAGAAGAAACTTAGGAAAACACTTGAAATAAAGGTATAATATCATGAAAATACCAGCCAAGTGTGTTTGGTGATAATTTCACTTAACTTACAGTGTAAATCGTTCGTTTTCGATACCTCTCTGTAGGGAGAGCAAACAGGCTTCCCAGAGGATCAACTCATAAAAAGATTCAAAGACGACGGGTTCTGCCCGACTGACGAAGCCGCTAGGTCGAAACACGTGTATTGGGCTGTACAAGAGCCCTTACCAGACCACATGACATGTTGGCTCGAATAATAATGAAGGGATCTATTAAGATCTGAGCGCGGTCTCAAGAAAACACTTGAGATAGAGGTATAAAGGATAAAGGATAAAGCTCTCGGCGTTAATCAATCCCTGAGGGATGCGTCATGCATTCGACTTCAATTTTTAACTTCGTTTGAGGTGATTGAATGCATATCTGGCCTTTACAATGACTCGCGGTGGCCTGCCGATGAACCGAGTCAGTGCTGCTTATCCTCCCAGACAAGTCTGAGACCTGCCTGGTACCAATTTACCGACCCCGGAGGGATGGATGGCTTGGTGAGCCATGAGCGCGAGATCGAACCATTGACCTCGTGTGCGACGCAGAGCACCTCTAACCACTGCGCCACATGCGCTCGAGATAGAGGTATAATATGATAAAATAACAGCCAAAGAGCAATCGAGTGAGCAACATTCTGTGTTAGGTGAAAATTTCACTTGATACAGAGTGTAAAACGTTCGCCTTCGATAACTCTCTGTAGGGAGAGTAGGGACCCGAGAGAACTGACTATAAAAAGATCGAAAGATGACGGGTTCTGCCCGACTGACGAGTCTGTAAGGATGAAAACACGTGTTTCGGGCTGTACAAGAGCTCTTAGCAGCCATATGACAAGTTGGCTCAAATAGTAATAAAAGTATCTATTGAAATTCGAGTGTGGTCATATGTTAACACTCGAAATAAAGTTATAACATTATAAAATGATTCATGAGGAGCTATTCATTTATTGAGGCAAGAATACTTTTTTACTTTCTGTCTGTCATTTTTTTTTCATAGTTGTTTCATTTCGAAAAAATTTTGCCGTTGATGCGGTGGATAGGAGGTGAGCTACTTGGAAAGATAATCAGGTTTTGAAAGCTCCACTAAAGCTTCTAAATTGCTTATATATCATCAGCGTTGTGGATTTATCGAGCACTATTCATTCCTTTTTAATATAACGTATCAGTTTATCGACCTGGCAGTAATGAGAGCGAAAACTTCAAGAAAAAATTGCTGCACAGACTGAATGTCAATAAACTGTTGAAGTCGACTGATTGAGACAAAAGTATATAGCCCTTGATAGAAAGCTTATTTCAAATTTGTGCATGCCAATTCTAGCCCTAATATTCGATTGAAAAGCTCTGAGAAAGCCGAGATGAAAGAAACTGCGAATGAACAAGTAGGAGACTGAGTTCATCACAAACTTTATATAAAAAGAGAGAACGGATTAAGCATTGTGATTTTCTTCGGCTCTCAGCAGCCTTCAAATAAAAAAGGGTAAAGCTCTCGGCGTTGATCAATCCCTGAGGGATGCGCCATGCATTCGACTTCAATTTTTAACTTCGTTTGAGGTGATTGAATGCATATCTGGCCTTTACAATGACTCGCGGAGGCCTCCCGCTGAACCGAGTCAGTGCTGCTTATCCTCCCAAACAAGTCTGAGACCTGTCTGGTACCAATTTACCGACCCCGGAGGTATGGATGGCTTGGTGAGCCATGAGCGCGAGATCGAACCATTGACCTCGTGTGTGACGCAGGGCACCTCTAACCACTGCGCCACATGCTCTCCTTGCCTTCAAATACATTATATATAAAGAACAACATAAAAGGAGACACTTTTTCAGCACTTTATTTGATCTGTTTCACGGTCTTCTTTCTTTTCACTGTGCGAATCCCATTAAATCAGCATTCAAATAGTTTTGGTCCTCTCATTGAATGTCGCGAAGTACTGGCTGAGAACGTCTACTTGCAATCTCAAGGATAGCGTGGCTGTGACGCTCTATAAGGCCTTCCTTACTGACTACTGTAGAGTGACGTAAATGTGAATTAGCTTCGTGTCGCCACGAGCATCACAACCACTCGGCCACGTTCACTCTTCTCCTGACAACCACATCACTTGTTTTTAGTTCGTGCCACGCCGCGCATGCGGCGGGCAGTTTGTATAATCACGAGCTGCAATGGAAATATGAGAATTTATTTCTTAATTCAAGGTTCTGAGAAAACTTTATTGTGTGTAAACGATAAAGTATACAGAAGAAACTTCTACAAAAAGATTAATAAATAGAGCGCCAAGTGTCGAGCATCTATTTTGTGAAGTTCACTCGCATTGTGTGAAATGCAGCTGTGTTTCCTTAGCTTTTTTCCGGAAAAGGCTTTTCACAAGATTATTATTAACCAGCTAATATTTTGAAGTAAATATGGATTTCAATATTTAGCTCTATTTGTAAAAAATTCATATGGATTAGTTTGAGATTTTCCGGACTCTTTCGTTATTCTTTTTTAGACTCCTTTTGGTATTGTTGACTATTTTCCGTGCATTTAAATTTTTTTTCCTACTCTCATTTAGAGCAGCTTCTTGAGGTTATTTTGATATATAACACTCATATTTTTGTCTTAGGATGGAATCGTCTCGAGAGCAAAAATGACTGTTGAGGCTACACGAGTAACGTTTAGATTCAAGTGTGGCTTTCGCACGCAACGATATTCGTGTAGCATCATCAATCGTTCTTGCTTTCAGGACAACTCCACCTCAAAACAAATTTAGAGCTATAACATATCAAAATAACTAGAAAAAGCTGGTCTGAACGGTAGTAAAGGCAAAACACTTAGTTGCATGAGAAAATTTTGGCAAAAACGGAAATGATCCAATTCTCTTCCTACATGTCGGACATTGTAATGCGCTGTCTCACTGCGCAAGATAGTCATAAAGACGAACTCGTATCCGCGATCTCTGAATTGATATTTTGATATTTATATTCTCATTAGGCTTAGCATAACTAGGAGATGCCCCTAGGAGTCGAGGCTTGTTGCACAACAGTCAGTTCATCGAACAACTGTAGAGTCAGAATCGACCAAAAGCTTACTATTTCCATTAGAAGGTCAGTCAGAATTATTTCTATACCACTGTGAACCTACGCTGGTGCCCTGTAGCTAACCCTTTACCAAAACATCGGAGAGTGCACTGACCAAAGGTGTGATAACTCTAGAAACGTTTAGTGACGGGAATTGAGATATAACTGATGTTCAATCAGAATTCATATTATTTGACCGCCTCTTGCGGTGGAATGATGTTGCAAAATACCCAATAATGTAGAATGGTGTGCAAAAAACTTGTCAGATAAGGCGTTCTAGCGTCGAAAGAAAGGTGTCAAAAACGAACGTTGGTAGTGTAACGGTTCAGCACGCGCTCCGGGATAGAGTGAAATGTGGGTTGGATACCCAGCTGAGGCAAAAATTTTTTGCACACCACTCTACATTATTGGGTAACTGATGTTCATTTCAGTAATTTTGAACAACATTTCACATCGGCTTAGATAATTTTCATCTACTGAAGTTTCATAAAATACCTCTTTTCAGAGAATTCGACGTTAACACTTGCAATGGTGCTAGCGAATTTTCAACAAATAACACTCACGAGCTATTCCATTTGAGAGAAAATTGGTATTTTTCTCTATGTACGGCCGTTATTACACGACCGAGTGAGTTTTCGTCACAAATAAATAGCAGATTTACTAAGTGATCAGTACACTTAGCAGGCAACTACGAAAACACCTACGTTTAGCAATAATATAATGGGTTGGCAAATATTTTCCGGACTTTGTCCCTTATGTTGATTATTTTTTATGTATTTAGGATTTGTACTACTATTGTTTAGAGCAGCCTCTTGCGGTTATTTGTACATATAACACTTGTACCTTTGTTTTAAGATGGAATTATCTCGAAAGCAAAAAAGATTGCTAATGCTACACGAAAATCGTTGCGCGCTAAAACAGAACTTGAACCTAAACAGTACTCGTGCAGCATCAACAATCGTTTTTGCTTTCGGGACAATTCCACTCCATCTTTGAACATATAGATTTGCTACATTTATCTAAATTCCCTATATATCAAATAATTCCTAAATTTCTTCGTTGAGCAAAACATGAGGTGTTGTGTAATTTCTTATTCAAAATCTGACGTTTCGGCAGTTCGCCTTCTTCAGAGCCTGGAAAGGCCAAAATGTCTGCAATCCAATCAGTCAAACACT